GGGGAGTGGCGCGGCGAAGATAAAGCAGAATAAGGTGTAGCTAACATTAACCCCATTAAAAAACAATTACACAAAAAATACAACAAAACCAAAACAATAAAACTAACAATAATACCCCCAGCTTTAATAATGCCATCAATAAGAGTTATTTATTATTGTATCATTTTACAATTGATTTAGAAGAAAAAAAAATATAAAAAAAAAAAACCTGGAAGATTTTGTACAAGTTCCTACATCATAATTGAAGCATTTCCCATGAACAACATTTTAACAGCTGAACTTGGTTTTTGGAAGAAAGAGAAGAGACTGGTTGCCCTCCTTCAGCCTGCTGACAGGCAGTGCACAGCTGGAAATGAGAGAGAAGCAGCAGATGGTACACCTGGGTACCAGAACCTGAGCCAGTTCTGCAGGAAAGGAACATTAGCAGTGATGCAACTGCTAATGATGACTTCTAATTTCATGGTAAAGTTTGGTGCTATTAAAGCTGCATGTAACTTTTAGTAAAAAAAAAAATTTAAACTGACATATTTGATGAAACTGTCTGAAACAGATAATCTGTAAAAATATTGAGCTCCCCACCTCCTTCCATATTACTCCGATACTTTAGACATTGCAAATTCGGTAAAGTACCGTAGGTATTAAATCAGGCCTGTCTGCAGCTGATCTGACAGCAGAAAATAAGATCTTACAACAGAGTAAGAAGCCACCACTCAATAAAAGAGACACACAGACCAAGCGGCGCCAACGTACCCAATGATGCGTCTCTCCGAGTACTCCTTCCTCTTGGAGAGGGAGTCGGTGAGGTTGAAGAAGCTGCGTGCCGGCAGGACGATGGGCCGCCCGGACATGGCTCCGCCCAGCAGAGGAGGCACGCGCGTCATCAGGATGCCACATGACGACAGGTATCTGGTCGGCAAACAGAGAGGGACAGAAAGTGAGGCTTTGTAGGCTAAGAGACACTTTCAGTTTGGAAACCTTGTTCGATTTGTCCTCGACACGACCCCAGATAAATCAGCTAGTCAGCAGGAACAGGGCTGCAAACACTCGACTCCAGACCAGAGCTTATAGAGGAGCACCACCGCATGTCCACTAGGCATAAAAATGCACAACTTGAAAATGCAAAATAAATTAGCTTAATGGATCCACGCCAATTTCGGGGATTCAACATCAGCCGAAAATAGAGAAATATTTGCGACACATTTGTAATGGAAACGTTGCTCTCTGCCATGGGAGACAGCAGATGTTTTATGACCTAACGTCAGTCTAGCTGAGGGATAAACAGTCAGAGAGCAGAGTGAATGAAAAAGGTCAACTTTACGTCAGAGTCTGCGGACTTTGATATGATGATGTCGACAAATACCAGCAGGCTTCAATAGGGATCACTTCTGGGGACAAAGTGATGAGATGAGGCCATTTCTCGGACACAGTCTAGCATCCGAATCAAGCCAACATTTTTCCAGCTCTGCCACTGATACTAGAGGATTTAGAGCTGAGGTTTAAATCGCAGAGATGTGCTGGGAAGCTGCTGCGCCTGGTCCAAATCGAAGGAAATCTGAATTCAGGAAGAGGCCTTTGGCCACCGAGTGCAGAGATGGGATTCACCCAGGAAGGAGGTTGAAACTAAGACAAACCAATCAGATACTGAATGGTTAGTCAGTGTCTGATGTGCCAGACACTGGAATTTTCCAGTTTTTCTATGACTGGCAATGATTAGTGATCAGCAGGCCAAAATAATAATAATTTAAGAAATCAGGTTTTCCCCCATATTGATTAATTGCATCAGAAATAAAAACTCCCACCATTTTGAGGATACAGCATGTTTTTTTGATGCACTTAGGTTATAGACAGATATTTTCTTTTATGAAAGAACATAGTGTATTTTTTTATTTTACATGTTAAAGGGGCAGATTTGTGTATTTTCGAGGCAGTGTCATTTTATAGCACAATCAAGCAACTATGTATAAATTAGGTTTTAGCTTCAGTTATAAAAATGCTGTGTATATCAAATATGACAAAGAAATTTTACTTTGTAATCTAACTCCTTGAAATGGGGCCTCTGTCTCTTTAAGAGGCTCCTGCTGTTTCCAACATACCACCTTCAGCCCATCAACATAACAAGGCTCCTCTATTAAGACTTTAACAATGTTTTTGTTTTGTTTTTTACCAGCATTGCAACATAAGTAGTTATGATGAGCTAGATAGATGCACAGTTCCACCAGGTGTTTGCTAATGACTGCTGCTGCTAGTCTAAAGGAGCTCCAGGTATGTTTTTGATGAGAGAATATTACAAAATTATGTAAAAAGAAAAAGTTGATTTTACACAATTCTGTTCTTTCAAGGAACATAAAATCAATATAAGACTTTAAATAAAACAAGAAGTAGAGATAGGTCAGGAAAGGCCCAATCAGTGCATCTTCACTCCGTCCATACAAACAAAGTGAAGAAGAAGAAGAAGAAGTAGAGCGTAAAGGGAGAAAAGTGAAGCAAGCCAGACAAACAGCACGAAGAAGGTTCATGAACAATATAAGATGAATCTCTTCAGGTTTTTCTGAAAAATCTCTAACTTAATGTTGGGGAGAACCCCTCGGGTGCCTCTTTAATGAATACTTTGTGCAACATAATTACAGACTAGAAAACGAAAAAGCCACCAATTAGGAACTAGCCAGTTCTTATTTGAGGTTCTGTGGTTCCAAGTCCTTGCATTTTTAAGAACAATTCCTATTTCTGCTTTACCTGCAATTCAGAATATGCATTTTAAAAGCTCACAGTTTACATATCACACAGGCTGTTGTATTTATTGCCAGTTGCTGAAGTTTACAAAGCAACACAACACTCTGAATTCAATGTGGTGACCAGAACGGCAAATGATTACCTTGTTCTACTGCTCAATACGCAGGAGTTTATCCCTCTCTTTTTCAATGCATCAAAAATAAAATTATATATTTTTCTTTTTTTAAGTGCTATAAATACTACCAAAAAAAAAATATATATATATATATATATATATATATATATATATATATATATATATGCGGAGGATCAAATGACAACAAACATACTCTGAATGCAAATGGAGTATTATTACACAGCCCTGTGAAGTCCAGACATTTGCATGGTGGGCTGTCGCTATAAATCAGCAGGAACTCTGGCTCTACAGGCTGTTTTCTAGGAAGCCTCCAGAAATAAACGTCCAACAGGACAGGAAGTGAATGCATCGCAGGAAGAAGTTTCCCCCGCTGACCGCCGCCGTCCTCTAAGGTTTGTGTTTCCATACACAAGAAACCAATGACCGACAACTACAGAGTCATGTGGAAAAAATGAGGCAGGCCCTTATTAGAGTGTGTTTTGGTTCAACCATTTTTGGACGAATGGATATTTATTTTCAGTTTCTAAAAGGAAATGAAAATCTTATCCTATGATAATCAAAAGTTTAAAAAAAAAATACCAGTTATCAAACACAAACATTATAAAACTTAATCTGCTTTTATCTAAAATAGACAAGCAACACTAAAATTTAAAGCGACTGTTCTGAGCTCTCTCACTCAGCAATGTTTACTTCTGACCTGTCAAAATACCAAAAACAAAAAAAACAAAAAAAACCTATTGCGATAAACGATAACATTGTTGTTTTGAGACAATATAACAGTAATAATGGAAGAACAATGGAAGAATACATTCTCAAAGATCAATAAACTTTAAATTTTGATGAACATTTAAACAGTGAAACTGGAAGACATTTTAAATACCCAAAATAAAACAAAACAACAGAAACAAAATTAATTCTGACGTCTCTGTTGACAAAATTTGTCTTTCAAAAAAAGGGATAGTTGAGACCAAAGCAGCAGACTGAAGACCAGTTTTGGTAGAAAGAGAGAGAAAAAGGAAAAAGGATAAATCAAGCAAATGAAAATTATTGAGTTTTAGTTTATCATGCGATTAATTGATTTACTGTTTATTGTGACAGTGTCTGATCTGTGTTCTTAATGACAGTAAACATACACATTATTACACAGCAACTGCAAGGTAATGCAATAAGAGTTGGATTTAACATCCAGGCGGATGTAGAAACCCTCTGTAATGCAACAAGGCCAAGGTCACGCTTTACAATGAGCTTTATGTGACCTGCATGACCGTGGAGCCACACTTTTCCAGTCAGTTCTGGTCACCTCAGCTTTTCCTGAGGACAGAAAGTCCAGAACTGGGCTGATAGTTAGGCTGCAGTTGGAATATAAGCCAGGTTAAGTTAAAGTAATCGGCGGTCAAAATCAGTTTAAAGTCGTGTTAGATGGGTAACTCTGGGATTAAGTTTTTATATGTTTGAGAAGAATTGGAGTTTGATCAATAACCGATTATTTGAATAAAGAAAGATTGATTACCAGCCATTTTAATCATTGGATCATCTTCTGCAGACACGTTAAAGAACTTGTTATAGATTCAGTGCAGTCTCAAATTCCGAATCATTTTATTGTTTTAAATCAGTGAAGCCCAGTTTTTCAGTCACTGCTCTCTCACTCAAACGTTTAGAAATTTTCTTTTGTGATGTTTGCCATACAGAAACACAAATGTAAAGCTAGAAATAATGTATTTATAATAATAGTAATGTTTTATTTGCATTGCACTGTTCTAAAAACTCTACAGGAATTAACGCAAAATTAAAAACTCTCGAGTACATCCAACTAAATCGTAAAAGAAAAAAATACTTAAATATATACACACAGTAAAAACACACAATAAGAAAGTAAAACATTAGAAGCTGTTCTGAAACGGTGTGTTTTTGATTTTGATTTTTGATTAAATCAATTTAAACTGCAAAAAAAAACAACAAAGAGAGTTGAAATTTGAAACCAATTAATTAATAAATGACTGATCAGTTATCACAACTGGAGTTTCTGCTCCAGCTCTCCTGGGATCAAGTGAACAAGTCTGACCCAGATCCGTCCTGACGGCATGAATGAGGACTCTGTTAATCCTCAGGGGGGAACACGCTGGCTTGTAACCTACACTGCAGCCCCGAATCAGCACCTTAAATGGGGTCCTGGTACAGCGACAGCGGCGGCCTGCGGGGCTGCCGCCTGTGATTGGCCGCTGCTGAGGGACGGGGCTGGCTGCTTTCGTTGGCTCGACGTGCCTGGCAGTCGACCCAATAGCTGCTCCACAATGTCCCTGGCACCAGATGTTTCCCTGCCCCCTGGAGGCCTGAGGGTTTGTGCAGGACTCTCTATGACACTTAGAAACATTTATGAATTATTCAATGATGTCTACAATCTTATCAGAATGGTGCAAAACGACATCAGGAAAACTTTAATATGTCAATATTGATTTAAGCCTAATTTCAAGAGTAGAAGAATAATAATAGAATTGAAATGTGAAATTAAGAGCAGTCAATGTGGTGCTGTGCTTGTTAAAGGACTATTAATTGTAAAGCAAAGCTTTACTGTTGTAGACAAAAACAAAATGATCAGAGGAGGCATTTCAAAATGACTTTAGCTTCTTTTATCAGCAGTTAGCCTTGCTAGTCTCAAGCCTGTCACAATAAGCAATGAATCACAATAAGCTTGATAATTTCCTTTCTGATCGTTAATATTTTTTTAAGCCAATTTATTTCATTTATAGAAACGAATAATCTGTCATATTATATATTTATGGTCTAGGTTTTGTATGGTTTGCATTTTCTTTTTATTTATTTAAAACACAGTTTTATTTTGGATATTTAAAATATCTTCCAGTTCCATGACCTAACAAATACCACACGACCGAGCCCCTCTGCCGTCAGAAACAGAAACATTTGTTAATACTGGCCCAGATTTATTTATCAGATGGATACTGATGTGGTAAAAACATGACCAACATCAGCAGACACCGATGTCAATGCCGATATATTGTGCAACACCAGTACAAAGACTATTAAAACACAAAGAAACGGGAACAGAATGAACACAGAGGGGAAAATGAGACTTAGAAACACTGAAAAAGTCACAGGAATGCAAAACATACAAATACTCCAAAACTAAAATCACTCTGTAATCCAAAACCACAGCAACCTCATATCCTCAAGGCTTTACGTATTAAGAAGATAATCTGTGGCATTAGGTTCTACAGAGCTGCACCCCTGCACATACCTCTTACATAATAGCTTTAAAAAAAATAAATAGATATCCAATTATAACTTTATGGGGTGACATAACATGATGTCACCAGTAGATAAAAGTGGCTGTTCGTCACGATGTGTCGTCTGGACCACCTGTTCCTAATGCAGACCTTCAACAGGAGCCAGTTCACCAGTACCTGGAACATGAGACAGCTGACCCTTTGTTCTGACCTCACACAGGTGTGCCACAAAAGAAATGGCTGACCATGACGAGCAATCAACTCAACAGGCAGCAGAAACTGGGCCCAAACTACAAAACAAAGGCTGTTTACTCTCTAGTTGTACCTGGGAGATGTGGACGCTGCAAACTGTGATGTCAACACATTGTCTATCCTAGGAAAAGCAGCCACAGCACAGGAAGTATGTATTCATACTACCTACACCGTTAAAATGTATCCGCTTTAATATTTATGCTTTACATAGCTTATATGGGACATAAGGAGATACTTCCAAACATCTTGGAACTAATGAAGGGAAAGCTCTAGTTTAGGATACTGAATCACACACTGTTCTCATTCAGAAAATACTATAAATGAAAATATCAGCAAACTGATATTTGTTTTCCAGGGTTACAAGATATTAACTTGAAAGCTGATATTTTTACACAGCGCAATTGTGGTTTTTACTAAAAAAGGAAAGCTAAAACTCATACCTATATCATCACAGACACTTATAAGGAAATCTGTAATAACTTTGCGATAGAGAATATACTGCTTGAATTAGCGTCTGTTAAAAACAGGAATATTTTGTGATCCAGATGATCGTTGACACTACATTCCAGACCAAGTCGAGATTTAAATCGCATCCGAGGGCAGGTAACTTTATCAGTATGTTGGCGTCATTAATAGATGAGCATTAATGAATTCCTGCCGATCAAGGCTGAAACAGCAATCACAGTATCCATGTTTTTCTTGACTTATTTTGGTTTTAGTGTTGAACAGCAACAAAGTGACAGTGGGCAAATTTTGTGCGAGAAGCAGCAAGTTATCACATTATGACACATACGGGATCTGTGGGACTAAACGAAGCTCATAGACAAAATTTGTAGACCCCAGCCCAAATCGGCTTTTCCCCTAGCAACGCCCCTGACATTTCAGTCTTTGGGGGAAAAAAACGAGGTTCTTCATATCAGATACAGCCATTTAAAGATTAACTTTAAAAACAGTGCAGTTACTTAAATTCTTGTACATTCAGGTATCAATAAACCAAGCTTTTTGTCGCCAACGTGAACGGAGTAAGTTCGCTACGGCTCCAGTTGCTGCCTGCGTGTGCTGGGAGCCTGGGGTGTTTCTCCCCAAAACCTTCCAGGTTTAGTCGAAAGCAAACAGGCTACTTCTTTACCTGACATTATTCCTGGCCTGAATTTCCCGGCTCGCTGTGCTCGGTAACTGCTTCAGGTACTCTGCTACTCTCCGTAAACTGCGGCCGCCTCTCGCCATCTTCTTTCTTTGACGGTTTCTTCTTTCGCCTGCTGCGACAAGTTCATAGGCATACAGCGGTGGTATGCTAGCCACGTTGACGTCACCTCCCTTCATCTTTGCTATTGGTCGAGCCGTATGCACTGAACGCTTTCATTGGTCGGTCAACCCACTAGTAGTGACGTTTGAGCACGCGCCTAAGCGCGTACCCGAGAGTCACGAGATGCTGGCTCCGGTTTCAGCGTCTTCTCACGCAGGTTCAAGCAGGTTCACTGTTTTCAGTTAAAACTTCTTAAGCCTAATGACAAGACAAAAAACTTTTCCCACCTTCATATCCGCTTACCATATACTGGCTCTAGTTGGGTACTACTGACACATTCACTTCAAATTGAATTCAATTGAAAAATACTTTATTTATCCTAAAACAGGGACATTCATTTCTGTTGTAGCTCATATTATTCAATGTCCTTCAAAGAGTTGTTGTAGATATTGATGGCTGTGGGCAGGAAGTATGTCTTGTAGTGGTCTGCATTACAGCAAATTTGAAGAAACCCTTGCAAATGCTTGAAATTAAGAGTAGAGTAAAGTATCCAGAAATTTCACTCAAGTAAGAGTAGTGACAATTTATTATAATATTACTCAAGTAAAATTAAAAAGTACGGTGTAGTAAAACTACTCCTAAAAGTACTTTTTTTTTTTTCAATAAAATTACTCAAGTAAATGTAACTAGTTATTACCCACCTCTGGTTGTCATCAGTGCATGCAGATAAATTGCTTAGTTCTTTAATCTAAATCAATAACATATATAAAATTATATGATATTTTGATGGAGAACTAACATCCTGTTATTCTTTCTTTTTTATATATAAATTCTGTAATTCATTATGAAGTGCTGGAGATAAATGGTGTCACAACACCACAGTGTAAAAATCTTCTCTTCACTGTAAGCACACACACACATTGACACACAAAATTGCTGCTGGTGTTAAGTAAGCTTTACACTGGTGACAACAAAACTTTAACCTCTTAGACACCCTGAACCTTTTTTCATTGCCGCTGAAAATCAGTTATTCTGTTTTCTTTTTTAAAAGAAAAGCTTAAACTTCCATAGTCTCAGCAGACGCAATGGTTTTCAGGGCAAATTTAGAACTATTTTAGTGATGGAGCTTTTGTTTGATTATAGAAAAACAATGACATAACCTATTTACACGTGCAAAATGTTAATTGTAGAAAAATTATTTTGTGCTGCACTCTGCACACACCATCCCTACAGTTAAACATTGTGGTGGCAGCATCATGTTGTGGGATGACTTTCTTCATCATGGATACAAAAGCCGGTCATACTTAAAAGGCAGATGGATGAAGCTAAATGCAGGACAATCCTGGAAGAAAACTTGTTTGACGCTCCAAATATAATTGAGAATGAGGCAGAGATTCCAACTTTTAGAACGCCATGAACCTAAACATACACACAGAGCTACAAAGGAGTGGTTTTTAGATCATGTTAAAATGACCCAGTCAAAGTCTAGACCTAAATCCGGTTGATAAGTGCCAAGGCAGGAGCTAAATACAAATATGCTCCAATTCTGCACTACTTTCTGATGGTAAATGCCAATAAAATATACTAAAGTCTATAGCTGTAAAGAGACAAAATATGAAAAAGTTCAAGTTGTATGAATGCATCTGCAAAGGCACTGTTTACATTATGACATCCTAGCTCAGATATTAAAGGTCAAAATAATGAGAGGGTTTGCTGTTTGTGTGATGAACTCATGTCAGACATAAATTTGCTTGTTTTGTCGACCGTGTGTTAATCAGCAGTGTATTTCTACTTGAACGAAAGCTGAATCAAACAACTTCAAACCCTGTGGGAGTCCAGCATGAACCTTGTTTCTCATAATCTTCAATAAAATCCTGTTTGTTCTGTAGCACACGAGACCAGGGGTCAGCAACCTCAACAACTCTGAGAGCCATTTTTACCTTTGGTCCAGTTAAACAAAGTGTGTTTAGAGCAACAGCAGTAATGACTGTTCAGAGCAAAATAGTTTGATTTATAACACGTACTATATGAAATTTGAATAGATTTTTACATTAAATGACAAAATTATGTTTGTTTAATACAAAATGTAATACTAAAATAATGGCCTAAACCTTTTGTTTTGCCGTAAGTGATTTTTTTGGGTAAAATCACTTTGGACCAAAAAGATCATAGGCCATTATTTTAGGAAGGTGATATTCAAGCTGATGATCCAAACAATTGAAATGTAATTTCACTGCAGAGGATGTCACATTTTGGAATGGAGCAGATGGCACTTTTGACAATGCATTTTTAATATCAAACCTATCCTATGTCAGCATTCCTACAAAAATTATATTTCTAATAGAAACATAGAAAAATAGGTAAAACACCATTCATTTATGAAATAAATATGTCTTATTTAATCAGAAAAACAACATATCAAAAAAAAAGAATTTTAGTGTGCAGAGTGCATTCCCAAGCAGACATTGTTTTTATTCCTTACACACTCCAAAGGAGGGATACAATGTATAATTGACTTTTTTGAGCCTTAAATCGTGCTATAGAATTGTTCTCTCATCAAAAAATATACCTGGAGTATTTCTTTGATTTCTTCATGCAATTGAGAAATCCATTAATCTTTGTTCAGCCATTTGTGGCAGCCTAAACACCTAAACACTTGCCAGTCTGACTCACAGAGCACCCCTACCTTGAACTCCTCCAATTAGCTCCTCTAGACTAGCAACAGCTAGTCTAGCAGTTAGCAAACAGAGCTGGAACTGCAAGTCTGCTGGGCTAATCATGCAAACTACTTCTTAGTCCAACACTCTTAAGAATGATGGTAAAATGCATAATTTTACCATCATTCTTTGCGATATCATCACTGTTGTGATGAGGTCGCAAAGAGCAGGAGCTTCTTAAAGAGACAGACCAATTTCAAGGCATCAAATTACGAAGTCAATTTTATTTTCAATTATTTTCAGTTACTTTTGCTATTATAGAGCATTTTTATATTAGCAGAAGGAAACATATTATTTAATGTGCTATCAAATGGCACCATTTCCCTGGAAAATACTTAATTTCAACCTTTTATTTGTAAAGATTGTTGAAAACTACAAATCATTTTCCTGACATTTTAAAATTGTGCAGTATTACGTAAAATCTAAATAAAATGATTTGAACTAATTTATTGCTGTTTAAATAAGTGTGAAAAAGTTCTTAGATTGCAAATTCGGTTAAGATTCCTCTTTGTTGCTTTGTTTTGACTTGTAATTATAATATTTCTATAGTGCTGTGGTATTTCATCTGCAAATATGAGCGTGATAAGAGAACATTTCGAAACGATAACAACCTTCTATACCATGTAGTCTGGAGCTTTAAATTAAGGGCGTTCTATGTTTATAGCCTGTTATCCGTAGACATGAATCTACTGCTCCCCACAGGAAGGAGACGGAACTCAAAAACAACGCATTTCCGGTTTCAGTCTTGAGCCACCAACACCAAAATGGCGAAGATCGCCAAAACACACGAAGGTAAGATTCTACTGAAATATTACATATATCCAATATCTACGCGATGCTTTTCAGTGAGTTTTGGAAATGAATGCAAAACCATCAGTAATTCCGGTAGTATTTCTCGTTATCATTTCTAGTTTGACGTTTAAAAGAGGATAAGGAGCAGGCCTGTTACGACGCAACGCGGACGGATTTATATAATGGCGCTGGTTGCTAATGTTAGCTAGCTAGCTTAAACTGAGCAACCTTCTGGCGCTTCTATCTTGTACACGTAAAGAAAGGGATTATTTTTAGATTGCTTTATACGCTAAATTTAACTGTATATAGTAGCCATGCTACCTCATTTGCGGTTATTTTTTTGCTTTTGCAGCTTCACAATTTATAGCCATTGTTTGTCGTAATGAGGCCAAAGCTTTTAAGCATGACCCCTACGTAACAAAACACCTGAAGCTCAGACACAGACACGCAGTTCGGGTATGCCTACGTTCAACTGACGCTAAAAGTCTTTCTTAAATGGAGGCAAACTAAAATAATCCTTTTAACTCATTCATCTTTGTCGGACCCGACCATTACGAAAGATTTTTTTTTTTTTTTTTACCAGAGGACGACAGTTACTCGCTTTTACCTTCGTTATAATTAATATTAACTAACCCAGTTTAAAAGTTGCGCATGTCAGTTGTTTCCTTTTCACCTGTCACAAAGCACGTGCTTTATCTTCAAAGACTAATTACTAATGACATGCAATATAAAGAGTCACGGTGTCATTTCGTTTTGTTTCCATCAACATATTTTGGCGAAACATGTTTTTAAAAAGTAAGGCAGTCGAATAGACTGTTGTGAGTTTTGTGTTTGCTCGTGATTTCTTTAGATAATATTTTCACTCATTGTTTACGCCAAAGATTGAGTCTCATTGAAAGTCAGAAGTCAGAACTGTGGCTCAGGTTGAGAAAACAAAGAGGATTTGCATAGCTGTGTGTGAGGGATAGTAAATGTAATGGATATTTAATGTTGGCTATGGAGATGTTGGTGGGGTGGGGGGAAGAAATGATACCAATGTAAAGAAAACCATGCCAGGGGACGTTATGAACGTGGAGGCAGATCCTCTGTGAAAATTAAATGTGAAATGAAAATTGCTACAAAAACAAGAACAAAAAAAGTTTACAATAGTTCAACACTAAAGGTTCCCTTGATTGACTTGATGAACATTGTCTATTTAAAAAAAGTTATATTTTACATTTTTGACATTTTTCAGCCTGTTCAAAGAATGTATTAAAAACTAATAAAAATTGCATTGGTCTTGGTACTTCAGGCAAAACACACATTGATTTTAATATGTAAATTGCTAAGCATGTTTTTGGGAATGTCTCTTTTACTAAAACAGCCCTACTCCAATTGACCCTGACTGCATATTAGGATGTCCTATGGCTTATTTTTTTATTTTTTTAAATTTTTGTTCCTTTTTTTTTGTCTGGCATGTAGATATCGAGGCCCAGATCCTGGAGATCCAGGGGATGAAGGCCAGCCTGCAGGAGGAGAATGGCGAGCAGGGCGTGGGTCTGGTCTCCACTGGCTTCTACGACCAGGAGATCTATGGCGGCAGC